TTGACACTGGCTTGGGTGGCTGGGACCATCCCCATGCTCGCTGTGGCCAGTGATGTGTCCTTGGATATGGAGGGTCCATGGCCACAGCTCCTCATCCCTTCCCCTGCCCCAGCAATGCCTCTCCTGGAGCTGTTGGATGCTAGTGGTGCCAGACATGTAACCCCCAAATAAACCCTAAAATCTCTCTAATCCCCTTTATCTCCACCCCCATGGGAGCTGGGTACCCTAAATGCATGTAGAGGTTGGGAACGCAGACAGCCCAGCCCATCAGGGTACTGCCAAGCCCCTGCCTCAGGTTTTCTGGCTGCACGTCCCTGGTGCCACCAACATTGACTGTGTCCACAAAATGCCGTGGGAAGAGGTGGTCTGGGTGCTACTGCTGGTATCGCTGGCTGATAGCCCGGGGGGAATCGTCCTCTGTTCCATCATCTCATCTGCATTCCCCACTCCATCTCCTGCTGAGCATCGCTGGAGGGGAGGAGGTCAGCCCTGAAGGAAGATGTCTCCTTCACCTGTAGGAAAGGAGGTCATCTATTTTGCGTCCCCTGTGCCAAGGACCTTGGGGAAAGCCCATGGCTTTTGGGCAGGAGCCAGTTTCCAAGCTGAGCAATCCTGGCACGGGTCGCAGGTACCTGATAGCACCTTGGTGGGGAGCTGAAGCCCAGCCAAGCTCAGGCTGAGGGCTGCACGGTGCCTTGAAGACTGATGCTGTGGCAAATGGTGCTGCTGGAGCAGAGCGCGGTGGCCTGGATGTCTCTGGAGGGTGGCGATGAGTGTTGGCTGTACAGGATTCCCATGTGTCCTTCCCACCTCCCTGCACTCGTCTCTCCCATGTCCCTGAGAAAAGGGGCTGGGGGTGGGACTGGGGCTCTTGAAAGGTGCAGGACCTTGAGAAGACGCCTGTGATTTCCCTAGTGCTGAAGGAAGAGGGCGGTGAGTCTTTCCAGATGCTTTCCCCGACCTTGGAGTCCTTATCGCTGTGGTGTGCCTGGTGCTCCTTGGCCCTGGGGGCTGCATCCATGGCATCCAGATGTGCTGGCATTGCCATTCCTGTCTTGGGCTCGATGTCACACCGGTGGGGACACCCGGCTGAGGTTCGCGCTGATGCCTCGGTCACTGGAGGAAGACTCTGGCACGGTGGCTTTCTCAACCCCTTGGAGATGGTGCTTCTTCCTTGCAGAGCCTGGGCTTGGCTCCTGCGCTGGCTGACCGGGAGACGTGGTGCCAATGACTCAGATGAAGATGAGGGCTTAATTAGCACGGGGAGAGGGGAGGGGGAAGAGAGAGAAAAGAGAAAGAGTCTTTCATTGCCACAAGATTGATACCACCTCCCCCAGACAGTCACGTTCTGCCGCATCACCCTCCAGCCCGGCGTCATGTGCGCCGGGCCTGACACCGGAGGACAAATGGGACCCGGGAAGTGGCTGCAAGGTACAGAGGGGCACTGCTTTATTAACAGCCTCAGTGAATAAATGTCTGGAGGTATCAAGCAGGGCTTGCCAGCAGCTTTTTCAGCTGTAGGGCTTTGACCTGCAGTCAGACCCACCCTCCACTCTCAGCTCCTTGGGGTTGGGGTGACACATCCAGGGCGGGAGGGTGTCTGCAAGGTGTCAGTAGCGATGCCACCAGCAAAATACCCATGTGAAGGTGTGTGGGGCTTGCCTACACCAGCCCCCTTCCCCCCCATGCACAGGAGGACAAGCATCGCCTGCCTCTTCTTTAGCCACAAGCTCCCCTGGCCCTAAGGCACCTTAGAAATCTTGCCCCCTTAACCATTGCGGCAAGGCTTTGCCCTGCCTCGGTGGGATGCCAGGGGAGCACTGAATCAAGTTGAGCTGGGGTCATGCTCAGGGTGACCCCCATACCCTCAGCACCCCGATTTTGAGCTGCAGAGCCCTTCACCTCTGACTACACCGCTGTCTAACAGCCCCTGTGTTCCTGCAGGGCTGGTAGAAGGAGGTAAAGGAGAGTGGTCCTGCCCAGTGTGGGCTGGAGACTGTGGAGGAAGACCCGTGGTTGGGGCAGGATGCTGACGGGCA